TCTGGGGTCACTGAAGTTATTCTTTCATATTTTTATAACTGTATTTCAATAAAATCGGTTTCTTTTGTGGCCTTATGTATTTCATTTTATGAATTCAAAAACACCATCATGCTTCACCAGACTGCCAAAGGGATCCAGGGACACAAAAAAGGTTAAAGAACCCCTACTTTAGAAGAAGCTGGACTTGGTTGTAATCTTTCACAATGTCATCTTTGCTGGAAGACCCTGGATAATTTCTCTATGCCTAGAATCTTTAAAAGGCTTTTAGCTCTGCCTCAGGCATTCCTAGTACACAGTGCTATGGTTAGAATTTTTGGCACTCAAAGAAAAGTAGCATATTGATACCTACTCAAATCATCTTTATAATTTAAGATGGGAGAACACAAAAAAAAAACCAAAAACAAAAACAAAAAAGACAAATTCAGTTGGGCAGGAGAACTTGACTTTTTTTATAAAGGTAGGGATGGCATGGTGTTGTTGGACATGAAGTATGTGCAGTGTGTGCAGAGGGCGGGGTGGCTGTCAGCTGTGCAAACCCAGAAAAGGTTCGTCTGTGGTCTAGCTGTGAGTTGGAAGGAAACATGCGATTTGGTTGCTTCCCGTTTTAACTAATTATTAGTGTTAGCTAGGTGCTAAGCTCAATTGCATCTATACTAATGAAGAAGTACAAGTACTGTCAAAATGTAAATATAACATTCAAAAGTGAGTTATTTTTAAAAGAATAATTTAAGATTTCGGCACCCTCTAAATTTCAGTACCTGGGGAAAAGCTTTGGTTGCTCCACACAACTTGGGTCTCTGTTATCACATGATCTATTGAAGAAGGGGTAAGTACCCCCTTCAAGCTATACCTTACACTGGGCCTCCTAGGTCTTCCTTTTCTGTTTTTCACTTAAGGACGACATTTGCTCTATACCTATAAAAATCCTTCAAGTGACAGAATCACCCAAATAAGCTTTAGCACAGAATAGCTACCTTTAAAGGACCGATATCACAATTTTTCTATGAAACGTGGACCCTGAAAACTCCCTATGTTTAAACCTAGATTTGAAAGGGAAATCAGCAATGCCTCTTAAAGCTAAAATGGTAACACTTGTATTTTTAGTGGAGAAAACTTTTTCTTAAGAACATGTAATTATTTGTACTTTGAGTGAGGATCAAAAGGTAACGATGCTACTTAGTGTCTATGAAGCTGAGAGTGTCAAATTGGTTCCTAAATTCCTTTAAACAACAGTGAAGGTAGTGAGAATCAAGATGATCCAATGGAAGTTTCTGCAAGACCTGGGGGGCTGATGTCAAATAATGCAGCTGTTGTACCTGAGGTTTACTGAGAGATTCGTGAATGCCTTCCTCACTTGCCCATCATTATCATGCATCAACATGCTGGGGAATGTTGCAGGAGGGCTTTCAGGTTAAAGGAATGAATGCATTGATGATGATTTTCTTTGCTCTACTGAATTATTCCTTCCTCACACTGTGCCTCATGAATGTCACTGCTGGAAAGTGAACATCAACTGTATATTCAATGTATTTAACTGGAAATTTGATTGAAAATTTGATATCTCAATATGAAAGATGTCTTTGAGCTCTACTAAGCATTTCCAAAGAAAATTGTGTCAGCAGATTAAAATTGCATACAAAATTAGCTAAATTTATGCTTATAAGATAGGCAGTCATATTCAGGGGTAGATGAAGCATTCAAAAGCTAGAAGATAGTTGAGTACTAACATCTAGTTTAATTATTTCAAATGATCTAAGATATAAAAAAGAAAGGTTGGATGAGGGAGCCTTTAGGTAACCCTGTAACAATCCTCTAATTTACATAATTAGGACTATTTCTGAGTTATATCCATCGAGGCTTCAGCCTACAAGGTACACTACATACTTCAGAAAATACCGGCCTTAGAGCTGGTGTTGTCACTCAAACCCATTTGCTCCTTTCTTCTTTTTTCTTTGGCGAGAATGGAGAGCGTGCCAGATTTGCTTTCACCCAGAGTTTATGCTTACTTGACCATAAAACTGCGGTTATTTCAAATGGCTGCAGTTACCTTATGAGAGGTGCTAACTAATGACACCCTGAAGCACCCTGGCACAGTAAATCGAGTTCTGGGCCTGGAATCAGGAAGGTGAGGGTTTACATTCTGCCTCTAAATCCTATGAGCTGTGCAACCATGGATGAGTCATAATCCCTCTGGTCCTCAGTCTCTTTAGCTGCAAAATGGGATAATAATGCCTGCAGTAGCTATCTTTTTTTTTCTTTTAGAGAGGCAATCGAGGTTAAGTGACTTGCCCAAGGTCACACAGCTAGTAACTGTCAAGTGTCTGAGGCCAAACTTGAACTCAGGTCCTCCTGGCTCCAGGGCCGGTGCTCTGTCCACTGGGCCACCTAGCTGTCCCGTGTAGTGGCTATCTTCTAAGATTATCTGAAGACTCAGAACAGACAAAAGTAAGTGAAACATGTGAATTTTAAAGTACTATATATGTCAAGTTACTATTCTCCAATTATTATTCTACTCACCTTGTTGATTCTCATGAGATTGGCATTAACACACCAAAATGACAATTATACAGATGATTCCCTTAGAAGAAAAAAGACCCATTCAGGCAAGCAATTCTCATGGTTTTCTAGCTGTGGCCATATCTTCGATTTCCTCATATTTTATAGAACCAAAGTCCAGTACTTAGCAATACAGTGTTACTTTAAGTTGTGTGTCTGAGTTGGGGACACCGGATTCAAGTAAACAATGGGACCATACTTGGCTGTTCATATCTCCTTACGCTAAGCTGTGATATTAGGAAGAAACTGCCCTCCCAAAGAAAAGGCCACTAAACAAGTGATTAATCTCTCACCCTACAGATTAGTGGCACTGAAGGCAATTTTTCTTTACCTTTTAGACAAGACACATGATCAGATGTACTTTTAGACAAAGTTCTTGGGGTCAGAGACTACTTCTTTGTCTTTGTATTCCACAAAGTATAACACAGTGTCTGACACATAGTAGGTGTTTAATAAATGTTTACTGAATTCAGGTCCTATTTTAGATGTGATTTGAAGTCTTACTCTACCCTAAGAAAGAATTTGTCACTGAAAGGGACCTAAGAGGTTTTCCAATTCAAGCTGTTCATGTTACAGATAAGGAAACCAAAGCTCAGGGAGATTCAGTGATTTGCCCAGGGTCACAAAGGGAAAATATGAGCCTAGCTCTTCAACTTAAATGTAAATGGATTAAACAATCCAACAAAACAAAAAAGAGTGCCAGATGGGATAAGAAAACAAAAACTCCACAATCTATTGCTTAGAAGAAATACATCTAAAATACAAAGACATTCATAGAATAAAAATGAGATTGAAGAGCATCAGGTTAATCCCAAAAGACAGGGGCTATGACTATGCTATCAGATAAAGCAAAAACAAAATTCACAATATAAGAAGCAATACACAGGAAAACTGCACTATGCTGAAAGAAACCATAAACAAACCAATGTCGATATTAAACCTGTATGTCAATTCCTTTGCCTTTAACTGAATTACAAAAAGACATAAGCAGTAATACAATAGTGGCAGATGATTTTAATGTTTTTCATTTTTGGATAACTATAATAGAAAGATAAACAAAAAAAGGAAAATAAAGAATTGAACAAATTACTGGAGGAACTAAAGCCAAAAGACATGGAATATTCTAAACAGTATGCTAAAGAATATATACATACACACACGTATTTATACAAAAAACTGACCCTATAGTAAATAAGGCACAAAGATTTCCAAGGTCACACAGGTAAACATTAGGGGTGGGATTTGAACTCAAGTCCTAAAACTGCAAAACCAGAACTCTTTCTACTGTAGAAAGGCCCACTCCTTAAAAGAAATCTTAATTACTGACCTGCCACAAGTGTCTAAAATTCCTAGTAATGGGAAGTCTTATTATTGGTATCTGTAGGACTCCCATGTAGAAATACAAATATCCCACAAAGGGCAACACATTAAACTGCCAGACTCAACTTGTCAAGACTCAGAAAGGAGATTCAAGATAGGTATAATTGGGTAGGCCTGAGGAAGAAAGGATGACCTAGATCACAGGGGTCAAACACGTGGCTCACAACAATTCTAACTGTGATCTAAGCCAGATTAAAATGTAATCAAGAAATATTTAACAAAATAAATAAAAATATTATAAAACTCTGGGCACCCAATGTGAGAGTATAATATATGTTCAGGGTGGGAGAAGGAGGCAGGCACCAAAAAACATACTTCGGCTCTCTCTGTCTCTCTCTTTCTAACTTTTGGTTACTATCTCCACCTCTTACTTAATGGTACCAGTCTATGTAAAACCAGGTCAGCAAAAAGCTTTTTGAAAATATATTATATCAGACTATTTAGGACTAAGAAGCCATACCACCTGGTGTTCCCCTTACTTGAAGTGGTTGTACAAAAATGACTTCATTTTCTTTGAAGCTTGGAATTTCTCGTATAGGAAACTCACAACTTTCTCCATGTGTAGAACATTAGTCCTGCCTTGACATGACCAGCGTATCCTTACTAACTGTTAGGGTGAGGAGGGAATATACCAACACTCACTGTGAATAAGTGCTCTTTTTGGAGAGGAATTTCCCTCCTTGTTCTCTTTTACCAAGAGAAGGGCATAATTTATTTTCTTCTTCTTTCTCCTTACCTGCTAAATACAAGGTATGCAGCAAGTAAATAATTACTTGTTTAATCTGCACTTTGTGTTAGTAAGTTATAGTTCCTATGTGACAGGTAATTTTTGTACACAAAGATTTCTTATCTGGGAGTGCATAATGTGAGTTTTTCTTCAAAAACGAATTGTATGAAAATTCCATTTGTATTGAAATTTAAGCTAGGCCTTTTTATCAAGCATTCTAAATGAGCTTAAAACAATTTTCAAATATTCAAATGTTAACCTGGAAGTGCCTTAAAAAAAAAAAAACAAGTTAGACAAGAAAATCCGAACCAAGATCTACAGTTGACAACAGGCACAGTTTTAATTGTAAAAATTTTAATAGCCAGTGGTTAAAAACAAAAGCTAATCACATTAATAAAGCCCTAGTTTGGACAGTTAATTGCAAGTGGGTGTCCAGATAAGTATCACACAAGCACTTTCCAGGTTGGCAGTAACGACAATTTGTCAGAGATGCAAAGTTGATCTACATCCTATGAAAACTACCTTCTGTTCTGAGAAAATTATGACCTACACAGAAAAACATATATACCCATTAGGATTTAGATATAACCTTACATTTATTACATTTCACAATTCCAATTTTTGAAAATGGTGGCCTTAGGAAAAAGCTGCTTTGGCAGGCAATTGCAAAGACTCCTGCAGAGAGGAAGTGAAAAAACTGGGCATATAAACAAGGGCTGCTGGCACGTTCAAAGCGCAGGGGATAGTTCACAAGGCAAAATGCAGTTCTAAGTAAATGGGTTTCAGGCAATTTCAGTGTTAAGATAACATCATTAAGAATAGAACAGATTGTGCTCAAACCCTGCTGTTTATAATTAACACATTGCTTCCAAATACTCCAGGGTCTCTGGTAAATAGTCCTCTGCTCAGATCCACCCAGACCAATCAGAGTATTTTCATCAGATGCCATGCTGGGCCAGCACCTGTTTGGACAAATCCAATAGAGCCAAAACACTCCTCTCCCTGGCCAGCTAAGTGATGGATGAACACAGCTTGGCTTAGTCACTGTCACAGTGTCCATATGTGAAGCTGGGAAGCTTGTTTTCACAAGAAATCATACAAGTATTTTATTATGTCGAAGTTCACCGTCCTATAAACAAAAACACAGAACCTGTTAGTATCACCACTCCTGGATTGCCCAGAGCAATGTGTGTTTTGGGAAGAGCACATAGGAATATTCAGAATGAATACTTTACCATTCACCGGTGTTATGACACTGCACATAACACTGACAAACTTGATGCCAATTCTTTGAAATGCTATTAGCAAAAGAATATCTGAATAAAGTTTTTGCCAGGCATTAAGTTGTTGTTTTTTTTTGGTGGGGGTATTTCAAAGAAATAAAAAGTTAGCTCTAACCGTGTAAAGACTCTATTTCAATTATGCCATAGAAAGTTGAAATTTAGATTGCCAGCTACTTGCTTTTTGTCTAATAAACAGGATAAAGTAATTAGTGATGCAAAAGTATTTAAATCTTTTGTGCTGCTGAACATTGTTTATCATCCAAACCACCTGTTTAAGCATTACATACTGCATAGCTCATCTGTCCTCATTTGTGGTATTCATTCTTTCAGTCTTTTAACACTACTTGACCTGTGTAAGCATTGTAGCTAAATCTGTAAAATCCAAGAATGAGATTCAACAGATAGATGATGTGAATGTGTATTTTTGTACGCTGATGGCAGGCAGAATAAAATAGCAGTGGAGAGAGACATATAATTATTTTCTTTTCTCTAAACTCATTCTTCACTACAAATATTCAGACTTAGAGAGAGTTTTATTATTTGAATAAATGATCAAAATAATTAGATATAATGATCTAGCAATAAGTATAAAATGAAAGGCTTAACATTGAATGCTGCAAAAATAATCATCCATATGAGAGCAGCATATTAAAGATTTGTTAATTGCATCTCTTAGTTATTAAACCATCATCACTGAATGTTTTTGGCTATCATTTTGTAACTTTAAAAAAAAGTTTCTAGCACATTATTAACACAAAAGATATTCTGAAATTTTAAAAATAGCCGATAATGGAAACTATTTTCGAAAAACTATTTAGCAACAGCTTAAGTGAGGCTTCAGGGTGACAGTGGTATCTGATGGGGGACAAAGAGGAGCCCAAGTACCTTAACTATTTGACTGTACCAAGTACCTTAACTATTCCACTGTAAGGAAAGCTAACCTTTCCAAACAGAAGAATCATGACCAAAAATAATTCTTATATAACTGACACTAAAACAGAGTTGCTAAAAAAAAAAATTAACAAATAAAATATTTTAATGGTATAGAAATGAAAATTTGATTATACAACTCCCACTCCCTCCCCCCAATTTTTAAAATATATTTCTTCTTTACATCTTTTAGAGTCCAGAAAATTTGGAGAAAAGAGGTACAGATGACAGAAAATTCGGGTAATAATCGCATTATTCCTTTTGGTAGAGGAAGAAAGAATGGTTTTCTGAGATATGCAGGGCATGGCAGGTGTTTTTCTATTATAAACAGAAATGGAATTCACGTTAACACATGCTGATGGGCAAAACTATAAACTAATTTCCAGTTTCGAGGAACAACAGATAAAGTGGATTTAATTTTAGGGCTTATTGCCTGTGTGCTTTTAAATACACGTTTGGCAAAACTAGAGCTGCGGAAGATAAAAAAAGTAAGAAAGCTAACCAATTTTAATGTATTAATTGGTAAAAACAATTTAAATCTTAAGGAAATGTTGAATGTTAACAAAGAATGAATAGCTAAATCCATTCCCTTAAGAAACACACATTTGTCAAGGTAACTGAAATTCCTAATTTCCTCTACTGCAGGCGATCTGCCAACTGATCCCAGCAGATCATCTTCCAGGGTATTGGCAACTATATGAGAATTTAATAGCATGCCACATTGGCAGTATTAAGGATGATATAAGGCAGTCAAATTCATAGCAGACTATAACTCTCCTCTTATAAGAATGCTGGATTAACAAGGCTTAGATCAATTTATTCTTGGGGAAAGTTTTGATTTGTAAAGGAGAAAATGTGCTTTGTAAGTACTTTTCTAACTCCTCTTGGCTTTTCACATCTATCAAGCTCACTAAGCACAACTGTTTCTCCCCTGAAGAATGCAATGCATATTGATGTTTTTAGGGAGAATGACTGATTTATTTTTTAAAGCAAACATCATAAAAGAAAAAGGACATGGGTATGATAGATAAAAAAGGCAAACAGTTTTAATGGTAATTTGCCTAGTGCCATTTTAAAAACCAGAATTTAAATGACTTTAAGATGAGCAGGGTATACAGTTTTGGGATATTAATTTAGTATTTTTTCTATATACCCCTATCTTCTTTGTGTCTTTTTCCTTTTCAAAAGTATTATTTTCTTCCTAGGACCTCTTGTTTTATTTCTTTCTCCTTCTATATGCAGATTGTAGAGGGTTTTTTTTTTAAATGGTTCATCTGATAACCTGAAACTTTATAACTGAAGAGAATATTGAATCAAATTCTATTGTTTTTCCCACATATCATGTGTCTGAAATTAAGATACATTATCCTTAAAGCAGTCTTGAAACCTATAGTCCTGTCTGAAAGGACTATAGGTCTTAAGACTGCTTTAAGGATAATGTATCTTAATTTCCTTCATTCACGTGTCGTAAACTCTAGGTAAACATTCTAGTGGCTAATTTAGAGTTGTACATATAATGGGTTATATGCTGTTAATTTTCAAATGAGACTTTAACATTTTGTTTTTCTTTTTTTCATAACCACAATTATGTGCAGAAGAAATCCAACGTTATTAAATAATCTCTAGTCTATTGCTTTCCTAGGTAAGTATATGCAAAAACTTTAAAGTGTTCCTGTGATGTAACATTCCCTTTAAATTAAAAAAAAGATTCTCTTTCCAGAGTACTAATTAATTAGGGAAAAATCTGAAAACCGTTTAAATAAAAGAACCATTCATGGATGCAAATACAGATAGGACTTTAATGACTGTACAAAATCACACCTTCATTGCCAAAGTTAGGAAAAATGCTACTGAAAATTTTGAAGACCTTAAAAAACATTTACTAAGCAGATGTCCAAAAAGACTTCCAGCTCAAATAGGCAATATGTGTAATGGAAAAACCACCAGATTATGAAGAACCCAGGATTTTAGTTCTAGATCAGTCACTGGCTAGCTCTGTGATCTTGGTCGAGTCACTTAGCCTCTCTGAGACTATTTCCTTATCTCTAATGAAGCGACAAGGAGTGGATAATTTCTAAGATCCATCGTAGCTCTAATGCTTAATTATCTGTAGCACCCTACTGAGTATTTTCCATCCCTCTCTTTCCACTGATGTAAAATGCTTACAGCACGAAGAAAAATGACTTATTTCACAAAGATTATTACTTTACCTGGTCAAATAGGTGAGAGACTACTTCTATTGGAGAAAACAGTTAAAGAAAGACATTTCGCTTCACTTATTTAATGGTGAGATTTCTGTTTTTATGAAGTTTACAGAAGGTGATATAGAAAGTATCCCTTAACAATTGAATGGCCTAATCAATAAAGGTTTAGAAACAATGGTCTGATTCTGCCAGTGACAAGTATCTAAATTTAGGCAGTGTGGCACAATGGATGGTGTTGAACCTAGAGCCAGAAAGACCAGGGTTCAAATCCTACCTCTTACATTTATGAACTATGTGATCCTAGGCATATTAGAACCTTTACTTAGTTTACTCATCTGTAAAATGGGAGTAACATCTATCATAGGGAATTTGTGAGGATCAAATAAGATGATGTTTGCAAACCCTGCAGTGCTATATAAAAGTGTTAAATATTTTTATCATTATTTAGTTGTTCATTTTTTGAGGTATGTCTCTCTTCTGGTCAGAAGATCCTAAACCAGAAATCCCTTTACATTTTCATAAAGAGTAAAGTGTATTTCATTGTTATAAGCAGGTATATACCTGATAAATATTGCTTAATAAAGCTTAAAATTATTTGAATCTAAGCCAACCTATTCCTAAACCATGAATTTTAATTTGAAGATGGAAACTACTATGAAAACTAAGTAATAAATTAAGTTGCAAGATACGTAAAAATTTTGAAAGAATGGAAAGGGAATTGGGCAAGAAGAACTTTTTTATGACTTTTTAAATAAGATGCTACCACCCCCCCAAAAAACCCCAAAAATGGGCTATGTAAAGTGCATCAAATACTGATATGGACTAGTCAACACTGCTGTGAGTGAATTTATCAAATGACAAAAGATGTATGCTCGACTACGGTCAGTGGTAGAATCATTTTCTTATATGATGCATCACAAATCAGAAGACAGAGTGATTTTAAAGGAAGTACAATTTATAAAAAGAAATGTACCAGCATTTAAAACCTAAGGATAGGGGGGAAGTCTTTTTTTTAAAAACTGTGACCTATAACATATTCCAGTGATGTTGGCATCAGCCAAAATATCCTTATACTTCTCTTTTGGAAATTCTTTCAGCACCAATTTCCAAGCCACACACACAGACACACATACCCACATACCCATATACCCCCACACACTTATTTTAGAGTCACATTTCATTTCCAATTAAACCATCTTGATTGCCCACCTTGTTCATTAGACTTGGCTCTGAATGGCTTAGCTTTTAGCTATTTTCAAAAATCAAATATACTCCCTAAACTTCCAACGGATAATTGATAAAGATTCATCACATTGAGGAGAGAAAAGAAAAAAGAATGTCGCATGGGCTCTGAGGGCATTTCCAAAAGAGGCAAGGATTCCCACTTGAGTGGTTCTTCTTCATTCCTGGGAGTCAAATGAACTCTTTTAAATAACAAATACTATTACTTTTAAATTTATTACACCATTTACATAACTTATAGACGACTACATTAAAGTCTATTTTGGGCTGACCTTGCAATAGCTCTGACGAAGTCTAAAGACACAGTACATTTGTACTTTGGTCCATCAAGCTGGTCATCATGGCCAACCAAAGTTAACAGCTGAAGCTTCACAAGAGAGGTAATCTAGAAATGAGAAAGCATAAAATTTTAATTGCTTATGCAAAGATATATCATCATTTCCACTCAATCCAATATGATAATTTTAAGGATCCTTTAATAAAGAATCTACAACTGCAAAGGGAATCACAAAGATAATATAATGCTTTGAAATTTGTGTAAGACATACATCCAGACACTTACTTAACTAACATAACAACAAGCATCTTTAAGGGTTTCATCTTTGGGGAACACTCCTTTTCTTTTCCACTGAATGAAATACTGTGTTTCACTAATGACTCAGAAGTACCAGCACTGCCCTTTTAAAATAAGAGGAATCAAAACACTTTTCCAAAACACATAAATGTTTTTTTTGAAATTCCTATCCAAATACAGCAAAAGATCAAAAATCTACACTCCTTGGGAATCAAGCAATGTGTGGTATTTGAATTTGTCTTCTCTCTCAGATTTCAGGGCTAGAAACAGGCAGGAGGGTGAAAAAAGCACCAATAGCTAACCAGTCTGAACTGGCCCTTTTCCCTGGGTTGGTGTGGCTTGAAAACTGAATGCTGACCAATGAGTCAGGAAAATAACCCAAGGCTTGGATTTACCAAAGGCAGATTAAGGTTTGTGAAGTCAAAACCGAGTAGTATAACAAAACAGCATACCTCTCACAGGACCATCATCTAAAGGATTAAGGCTCAAAATCCAGGAATGATAGGTGCTCCAAGCACTAAAAGGCTTAACTTAGGCTCATTCTATACTCACACCCAATGTTACCATGCTGTGGACCAGCAGGAGACAGAAAAACGCAGTGGAAAGAAGTGGGAATGCATAACTTTGATGATCTGCTGCATGATCTCATCCAGGATTGCCCAATAACAAACAATTCAGCATAAGAAATAACTGGTAAAAATTACAATAGCCTATTCATCTAAATCAGGAACTAATATGGCTCACTTAGTGGCCTAGCACTAACATTTTATAGATGTCCAAGGACAATGAACAGAACAACTTGTTTTAGTTAAAGGAATTTAGGACTTTTAATAACTTACCAACCCTACTAAGTTCTACTCTGAACTTTCTTTAACTTCTAACAATTTATTTATCTTTTTATTAAATTCATTTTTGAAACAGGCAAATATGACCTATAATCTAGTAAATCAAATCTCTACTCAGCCAATGAAGAAGCATAATAATCTGTTATTACAGTCACTCTTTTACACCTTAGTGCACCATTATTGGCTAATCATTCTGCCGGATGTGACTGCTACTGGGCTGGCTCCTTATATTCAGAGATTACCAAAGAAACAAAGTTATATCTCCTAGAAAGAATGGGCATGAGGCTCATAAAAGCTTCCAATAAAAACACCATAAGTTTAGATAGCTCTTAGAGTGAGACCTCATCTAAATATAACACATAATTTTTAAAAATGCCTTGTTTCATTATAAATGTTTTGGTATTGTATAATTATATATATATACATATATATATACATATATATGTATATATATATGTATATATATATATATATATATCAAACAAAAGGGAAAAACAAAGAATATTCAGCATGTAGGAGCTATGAAACTTTTATTTTAAAGAGAGGCATAAAGTAGTTTTAATTTAATATTCAATACAGTACTCCTTCAAAATTAGTTCTATATGGATGAGACAAAGAAATCACAACTTTCTGCACCAAATTTGGAAGGGGCTTTGGATTATCTAGTACATCTTCATTTTAAAGTCAAGGAAATTAAAGCCTAGGAATTAAATGACTTTCCAAGGTGATGCAATGGAATAGTGACACAGCCAAGATTTTCTACAATCTAGGTCTTCTGATTCTTAACCCAGTGATTATTTCACTATAAATGTTCTTTTTCAGAACAGGCATTTTTACCTACCAGCAACTTTGGATGCAAAAACTAATCATTATCGTAATAGAGCATTTCTAACTAAGCTCTACTAAACATGAAAAGATTCCTAGAACCAAGGATTATATCCAGTAAGGGAATCATAAATCCTGACATGGAGGAGGCACCTGAGATGTGCCATAAAGGAAGATGATTTCAAAAGCTAGGAGTGGGGTGAGGAGGAATGGGGGAGGAAAAGATATCTAAGACCTATTAATAGTGTGAGCAGAGGCACTGTAGTAAGAGGAAAGATCAAGAAATAAAAAATGGTGGGGGGCAGGGAAGGGAACAAGCATGCAAGTACTGTGCTAAGTGCTTTACAACAGTACAGATTGGCTAAAACAAAGAGTGCACAAAGAAGAGCACTAAAAATAATGCTAGAAAAGTAGACTGAACACGATTATGGAGGGACTTGAATGGTAGGGTACACGCTTCGTATTTTGTTAAGTCAGCAACAGGAGGTGACTGATGAGAAGTAAATTTCATCAGAATAAACACCTAATTATATATAATATGTCGGATTATAGCTAATTATACTTTGTTCCCCACAATACATTAAAATATATTTTTTAAAGTGCCCTGTCATCATTTTAAGACAAATTTTGAGCTGAGTTTAAACTTCCATAAGCCACAATAAAGGATCAATGCAGAAATCTAAAAATAGGAACACAAATATTCAGACTCTTTGAAATACTCTTGGCATAGACAGGCTGATTGCTAGGATATCTGTCTTACTCTTGATTAAATACTAAAACATAGTGTTTAACATTTCCAGTAATCTATATCTGTGGAGTATTTTCTGATTCTAACCTCTCACAACTCTCAGTATTATTTTACTGTTTAAAAAAAAGTGATAGAGGTTTGCCAACTTTCAAAATTTTATTGACAAATCCGCAGATGAAGAGAAGGTACTGTTCCACATCCACAGCATATCATATTTAGTAAATTCTGAAGCAGTTTTATATTAGAAATCTATTGTCATAACTCTGATTCTGAATGTTTACATTAAAATTCCAATGGAAGATTAAACAGAAGATTTTGATTTTGATGCTTTAATATCACAACATGAGTCTTGAAACTAAATGCTGAGTGTGACTCTCCATCTTTTAACAGAGCACATACTAGATAAGCCCTCTTTTGGCATTTTATTAATTTGTAACAAAGAATTTAACTTAGTTGCCTACACTTGTCTAAAGCCCTCTGCTAGTGGTAGTTAAATGCATACACAGCAATGTAACCAAGGGCAGTCTGAAAACCAGATGTGATTTAAAAAACACATTTCATGCAAAATTACCATCCAGGACTAGTTAAATTCAATGACCCCAGCACAAATTATGTTAACATAAAAAAAAAGACATTATCCTGAGAGAGCTAAATTGTTTATATTTTACTCTTTCAGAAATCAGTAAAGACAAAAGAGAAAAAGCAGTGCCAGGAAGCCAATACCTGACCATGATGATTCATATGAACCACAGATGAAAGAGACTAAATAGAAACATATGCCTGTAGGGCTTTAAAAAAGGAAAGAGGGAAACAAACCTGTGAAAAAGTTTACAACTGACTACTTATCAATGGGGTGACTGGTTGAAATTGATTCATTCTTATCTAGCAATTTGATAGTAAGAGTTTGTTTCCATTTCTTATCAACCTATTCTTGTTTCCATAATTACTTTGCCATAACAATTATGGAAATTTTGAATACAAATTACTAAGCTACCTTGAATATCCCAAGAGACTAAATAGAAACATATGCCTGTAGGGCTTTAAAAAAGGAAAGAGGGAAACAAACCTGTGAAAAAGTTTACAACTGACTACTTATCAATGGGGTGACTGGTTGAAATTGATTCATTCTTATCTAGCAATTTGATAGTAAGAGTTTGTTTCCATTTCTTATCAACCTATTCTTGTTTCCATAATTACTTTGCCATAACAATTATGGAAATTTTGAATACAAATTACTAAGCTACCTTGAATATCCCTGAGTTTAGTGGGTCATCTCTAGCTTAGAGAGAAAATGGAAGATAAGCAGAAATCTTCACATGTACTATCCTTTGGTTGGCTACTGTCACACCATGGAATTTCTCATTTGGAAAACAGTGTTTAACGTACATGTACCTTTATCTCTTGTCATTCATGAGGAAAAATTTCAAGGATCCAGGATGTCATTACAGTGAATGGAAGGGAGCTTAGAAATCATCTAGCCCATGGTTCCTGACATTACAGTTGAGAAAATTTTACATTAAGGTAAAACGACTTGATTAGCATTCAACAACTACACAGTTAATTAAAGGCAGAGCCCAGACTACAACTCAGACTTCCATCTTTTATTAGTAAATTAGCAGTTGAGGGAGAATGGACCAAAATTTGTCATTCTACATGTATTTACTAATTGCCTACAAAGTTCACAGAATTGTAACAAAAAACCTAGGTTCTAATTTTTGGCTTTACGCTAATTGCAAAATTAGGTCAGGTATACTCTATCTCACAGAGACTTGCTCAAAATCAGCATGATGGTAGGACCAATCTTCCTGATGAGGAAAGGGTAAGCTGCTCAAACTTTAGTATGGAAGTGAATTTATTGCACTTCCTTGGCATGGTAAGGTGCAATGCAATAGCCATATATACAAAGATGACAAATATGAAAATAGCAACTATTAGAGATGCTATGGAAGGTCAGGCAAGATGTACTATTGGTAGGGCTGCAAACTGGTCCAACCGATCTGGAAAGAAACTTGGAATAATATCTCAGTAATCACTAAACAGTGCATTTCTTTCAATTCAGCGATACTACTACAAGGTATGCTCTCCAAAGGGATCAAATAACTCATGTGCACAAAAATGTTTACAGTAGCTTTTTTTGTTGTAGCAAAGGACCAGAAACAAAGCAGGTATCTAGCAACTGGGGAATGGTGGAACAAACTGGAGTGTACAAACATAATGGAATATCATTCCCTCTATGAAATGATGACTGTGATGGCTTCAGAGAAACCTGAAAAGACTTGTATGAACTGATGAAGAATAAAAAGGGGCATAGGCAGGATAGCAATTTACACAAAAACCGTAATGTAAAGAGAACAACTCTGGAAGAATACAGAATTATAATCAATGAAGTAACC